TGACTTTACTTGTTAATTTATGACATTATCATAGTCTAGGACAGATTTGGTTTTGTCTTTTTTTTTAAAAAATTTAAAATCAAAATATTTTTATCCGTTTTTAAACGTGATAAACATATTGAATTCGTGGACTAGTTTATATCGTCCTCTTCCACACATCTTCCTTCTCTTTATCTACTCTTTTCCACACCATTCCCTGTTAACCCCATTTTCTTGATTTCCTTTCGTCATGGAGGATGCTAGTGGTAATCAACTTTTTATTTGTTATTTCTTCAATTTTCATTGGAGGATGCTAGTGGTAATCAACTTTTTGTTTTTATTTGTTGTTTCTTGAATTTTAAAGGGTTTTTGTTTTCAAGGTGTTTTCTTGTATGGATGTGCTCTGTCATTGTCTAAGCTCAATTTTTTGTGTTTACATGCTTCGTGTTCTTTGAGACATGCTTCTGTGTTTGTTGGTTGGCATATTTTGGAATTATAGCTTGGACTTTTTTAGCTGGTTATCTCCATTTGTTTTCCTTTCCTTTTCACTCAGGAGATGAAGACTTAAAGTTCTCCCCTTTAACATCTGGAATCTTCATCTTTAATACATGCTGAAAAGATTTTGAGATCTCTTAAGATGGCGGACTTTCCAAGAATTTAAGCTATATGTCCTGTTTTGACAAGGACATAGTTTGCTTTCTTTTTATGTGTTTGTGCATATTGGTTTATAGATTTTGAGGCTTAATAGAGGGATAAGGGTAGCAACAATTGTTCGTTTAATCCATCTTTAAGAAACATTCCCCCCTCCTGGGATGTTTAAACTGTTCACTCAGCAATTGGTATACAGAAGCATCAAAGAAAATGGATGAGTCATTTCTGAGAAATCAAAATGATTGTAAATCTAAGAATTTTATCATTTATTCAAAGTTTATATCATCAACAAGATTTTGCTGGAGTATATGTATTTTCTTCAATTGAAGATAAATAATAACATTTTTGTTTTTGTTTTGCCTCTCTTCTTCGCAGTAGCTAAAGACCGAACTATTTCTGTGGCATCTGCCTTTTCTGCTCATCAACAAGGTAAATGCCTTTTGAGTATCTTGCTCCATTATTATTATTATTATTTTGTTTCTAACCTGTTTTGATATTTTAATGACAAATTAGTATCACCAGCCGTTTGTTGATCAGATTTTACTTGGGTTGACCTAGCGACCTAGTGATTCAGATCCTTTTTCGGTTAGACCTCCGACTGGTCTGACAACTATCTTTATACCCCAGTCAATTTGATTGTTTTACATTGTTGTGAACACTGAAGAGAAAGTTTGTTCCTGTCCTTGTCTGCATTAATGCATTGTACCTCCCCACTTCTCTGTATAGTAAATTTATGATTTTCTTTTTTTTGCTGTTTTGTTCTGTTAAAGACGTGTCTTTGGTTTCGAGGTCATAGTATTTTAGTCTCTTGATAGTTTTTGATGATTGATCGACCAGCTGTTCAGGACAGGGACCATAAATTCCTAACTAGAGCAGTTGAAGAAGCTTATAAAGGTGTTGAATGTGGAGACGGAGGCCCATTTGGTGCTGTCGTTGTTCAAAATGATGAAATAATCATGAGCTGTCACAACATGGTTTTGAAGAACACCGATCCCACAGCACATGCAGAAGTTACGGCTGTTAGAGAGGTTAGGACTTCAGACTCTCACTTTCCCTTGATTTACCTGCTTGCTAGTGTTCCCTGTTGTGTCATTTGTGCCGGTGTGCAAATTTCTCTGGTAATTCCTGCTATATACGATGCGTGGATGAGATAATTATTCTCGCAGGCGTGTAAGAAGCTGAACCGAATCGAGCTCTCGGACTGCGAAATATACGCATCCTGCGAGCCATGTCCGATGTGCTTTGGTGCCATCCATCTTTCAAGAGTCAAGGTTGAATAGCTGAAGCTCTCTCTCGTTTCCATGTGATGCTTAATGCTTCAAGTTTTTCCAAGTTTCTAACATGTTAGGCTTTGCAACAGAGGTTGGTTTATGGAGTTGAAGCTGAAGCAGCAATTGCAATTGGGTTTGATGATTTCATTGCTGATGCACTAAGAGGCACTGGGTTCTATCAGAAGGCTCACTTGGAGATCAAAAAAGCAGATGGTAGCGGTGCTGTCATCGCAGAGCAAGTATTCGAAAAGACAAAGTCCAAATTTACCATGTATTGATTTTAATGCACAATTTACTTGAAGAATTTTCAGAGGACTGGCTCTTGTGTGTTTATTTATTGTACGAATATTATGCCAATATTATATCATTAATGATAAAGAAACACATTTTTTTTCTTTTTATTTTTAATAATCATCCAATAGTTAAATTAGCCTCGGTTTAGGGCTCAGGTCGATAAATTATGTGGGTAAATCCCAACGATATCATTTTAATTTTTTTTTTTAAATCTTAGAGTTTATTTTGTATTTTGCTAAATCAATTAAATCATGAATTATATCCCAACGATATCATTTTAATTTTTTTTCTAAAAAAATCTTAGAGTTTATTTTGTATTTTGCTGAATCAATTAAATCATGAATTTTTTTATTAAATATCTTACTAAATCACTTTTAACCGATATAACATATGAAAAAAAAAAGTTAAAAATAAAATCTAGCTTGAATGAAGTTTTAAAATGTCCACAAATAAAAATATTATAATAAAAAAAGAGAAGTAAACAAATATTTAAACAACAAATTAAAAAATTTTTGGTCCAGCATTAAGATATTATTATATTTCTACAAGAATAAAAATACTAAGTTAAATTTTTAAAGCATTAAGATATTATTATATTTCTACAAAATACAAGTTCAATTTTTAAAAAACATATTTATTAAGAGGTACAGCCGAGGCTAGTTTTACCTTTTAAAAAAATACAAATATATATATATATATATAAACAAACAAACTATTACTATTTTCTATTCACTACTATCCCTCCCTGTGGATAAAAAGAAAAGTTGAAAAATCCAAAAAAAGAAACAAAGGAAAATCACATTCCCTAAAAATCCGGTAAATCCGTTTTCCATCAATTGGCTTTTTCCCTCCACATTTCTCACTTTCCACCCGATTTCAACCAATGGGTCACGGCCACCCTGTCCTCCTCCTATCCCTCTCCCTCCTCCTCTTGTCATCCGCCACAGCCGACGATGGCTCCGCCATTATAAAACTAGCCAACTCCATAACCCCGCTACCCGCCGGCTGGTCCACAAAATCCTCCACCGGTTTCTGTTCCTGGCGTGGCATAAAATGTGATTCTTCCAGCACAAGAGTCACCTCCATTTCCCTCTCAAAACTCAGCATCTCAGGCACTCTTCCTCCAGAAATCTCTGCCCTTTCTGAACTACAATCTCTCACTTTTCAGGACAACCAGCTTTCTGGGGCTATCCCATCTTTCGCTAACTTAACAAATTTGCAAACAATTCTCTTGGACTCCAACAATTTTACATCCATATCTCCTGGTTTTCTTCAAGGGTTAACGAGTTTGCAAACGTTAAGCGTTGGAGACAATGTTAATTTATCTCCATGGATGCTTCCAACTGATTTAGAACAATGTACAAGTCTGACAACGTTGACAGCGAAGGAATGTAACCTTTTTGGGTCTATTCCAGATGTTTTTGGGTCGTTACCAAGTTTGCAGAATTTGAGGTTGAGTTATAATAATTTTACAGGGGCTTTGCCACCTTCTTTTGCGAATTCTGGGATACAGAATTTGTGGTTGAATAATCAGCAAAATGGGTTAACTGGGAGCATTGAAGTGATTGGGTCGATGACTCAGTTGGCTCAGGTTTGGCTTCATAACAATGAGTTTACAGGCCCTATACCCGATTTGACAGAATGTAAGAGCATTTTTGATTTGCAGTTGAGGGATAATCAGTTGTCAGGGATTGTGCCTGCGTCGTTGGTTTCTTTGCCGAAGTTGGTGAATGTTTCTTTATCTAATAACAAATTTCAAGGCCCTGTGCCTCAGTTTCCGTCGTCGGTTACCAAGGTTGACAATGATGGAAATAACAAATACTGTGCACCTCCTGGGGTTTCTTGTGATGCACAGGTGATGACATTGCTTGGAATTGCTGGAGGTTTTGGGTATCCGTCGATTTTATCTGATGGCTGGGATGATAATAATGCTTGTGATTGGGCCTTTGTTACTTGTGATGTTGACAAGAAGAATGTTGTTACTGTGAATTTGGCAAAGCAGCATTTTCCGGGGAGTATCTCCTCATCATTTGCCAAGCTCACTTCTTTAAAAAATTTGTATCTCAATGACAATAACCTGACAGGTTCAATTCCTGATAGCTTGACCAAGTTGCCGGAGCTAGTAACCTTTGATGTATCCAATAATAACCTATCTGGAAAAATTCCAAATTTTCCAGCGTCTGTGAAATTTATTACAAAGCCGGGGAACCCTTTTTTGGGGACAAAAGTAGACACTGGTGGAGGAACTACTACCTCAAGCGATGGAGGAACCACCAAGATATCTGGAGGTATGATTGCAGGCATCATTGTTGCTGCTGTCATTTTTATTGCTGTTCTGTCATTTGTTTTATATAAATATAGGAAACGACCTCGAAAATATGAGAAGAAGGTGGGATGGGATAGTGGAAAGGCGCTTTTTAATAATGGAGTTGCAGGTGGAGGGTATAATGAAGTTTCTATTGAAATGAGCAGCCAGAGCAGTGTTGGTGAAAATGGCAAAAATATTTTGGAGGATGGGAATGTCGCTCTGCCCATTGAAGTTATTCGACAAGCGACAGATAACTTTCATGAGATTAATATTACCGGAAGAGGTGGTTTTGGAGTGGTTTATAGAGGAGAGTTGCATGATGGCACTAAGATTGCTGTGAAGAGAATGGAATCCACAGTGATGGGTACCAAAGGTATGAGTGAGTTTCAAGCAGAGATTGCAGTGCTTACAAAGGTTAGGCACAGACATCTAGTTGCTCTTTTAGGGTATTGCATAAACGGCAACGAGAGACTCTTGGTCTATGAGTATATGCCACAAGGAACTCTTGGACAGCATTTATTTGAATGTCACGATCATGGGTACACTCCACTTACGTGGAAGCAGCGGATCACAATTGCATTGGATGTGGCGAGAGGAGTTGAGTATCTGCACAGTTTAGCACAGCAGAGTTTCATTCACAGAGATTTGAAACCTTCAAACATTCTTCTCGGGGATAGCATGAGAGCCAAAGTAGCAGATTTTGGTTTGGTTAAAAATGCACCAGACGGGAAGTATTCTGTGGAAACACGATTGGCGGGCACGTTTGGTTATCTTGCACCTGAGTATGCTGGTAATCTTTCTGAATATTATTATCTTTGTTGAAGGGATTTGTCCGACTGTATGTTCTTAACTTTTATGATGATTGTTTGTGGCCAGATTTAGCAGTATGAAGATAGAAGGTCAATTTGTTCACGTTGCATTTGAAAAGAACTACTCGTACCACGAAGTTTTTTCTCTCTTATGTCTCACATGATCAATTCATCTTAGCATATATTTTGTGTTGTGACAATGGAGTTTTTTTCATGGCAGCATTCTAGCAATAGCCATATTTTTGCCGTCTTTTCTTGTAAACGCTTTAGGTTATTGGCTGCTGATAATGATTGTAGATCTCTCTTGATTTGATTAACTGAATTAGCTAAGCTCTGTGAGGGTTGACGTTTTATTGCTTGTGTTTCTATTGGGTGCACATGAGTGCAATTATGCGTGCTGCAGCATGTTTTCAAGGATATTTATCTGCGTGAATTTGCGAGTTTGATTCTCAGATTCTGAACACTTTCCTTCAGTCTGTGATGAAATTATTTTCGAATCAGTTCCCTTCGTTTGTGGATGATCTAAATATGAATTGGATCTACTCTGTTTTCTGTCAGCTACTGGAAGAGTGACGACGAAGGTGGATGTTTATGCCTTCGGAGTAGTTCTAATGGAGATTATAACTGGCAGAAAAACACTGGATGACACCATGCCAGACGAGGAGGCTCATCTAGTCCCATGGTTCCGCAGGATCCTGATGACAAAGGAGAACATTCCAAAGGCAATTGATGAGTCTCTAAATCCAGATGAAGAGACATTAGCCACCATTTATACAGTGTCTGAATTAGCAGGACATTGCACTGCTCGGGAGCCACATCAGAGACCGGACATGGGGCATGCAGTGAATATCCTGGCACCTCTTGTAGAGCAATGGAGGCCAGCAAGCCAACAAGACCAGAGTTTTGACATTGACCATGACACCAACCTTTCCGAAACTCTGCGAAGATGGCAAAGTGAAGAAGGTGCTTCCATGATATCTGATGATGCTTCCTTCTCTCGGACTCAGTCAAGTGTTCCCTCCATGCCCTCTCGTTTCGCCAACACATTTACTTCAACTGATTGTCGGTGATAAAAGGGCATGATGACCCTTCTGAAGAGAAGAGGCGGAAAGGTGAAGGCTAGTGAAGTTTATCAAACGCTTCATTGTATTTGTATTTACTTTTTTTCCCATTATTTTCATGATTTTATTTGTTCCATAGCTGAACATTAGAGCTACGATAGTATTTTTCTTTTCTTTTCTTTGTAATAGTCACTGTGACTATTCAAATCAGAAAAAGAGGAGAGAAAGAGGTGATTGTATAATACTTCTGGCCTTATTTTCATTAGTATAATCAAGGTATATATTGTTTTTAATTGTGACAGCTTCGCGGAGACTTTTAGGGTTTCTTCAGTAACAGAAATAATTTTTCTTTTTCTTTTTTATATAGTTTTTTTTCCATTTTCTAGCTTTTTTAATGAAAAATTAGAAAACATGCTCATTTGTTGAAAAGAATTTTTTTCAACGAAAAATACTTTCATATAGAAAATCAAAATCATAGTTTATAATAGTTATCTTAGTATTTTGTATTTGTGATAATCTAATTATAAAATATTAATCTTATTTTATTTAAAATAAAAATTATTAGATAATAGAAATCAAGATTTTGACACTAACTAGATATGAAGATATGTACATAGTTTTTTTTTTTTTTAATTTCTCACATTGCTGAAAAGTACTTATATATATATAATAAAAAATATATCATTTATGGTTTTTTTTTTCCTTTTGAAAATCAGTGAAAAACTTGTATACAAATGTTTTTTTTCCAACTCAGTACAAGTGAAAAACTTGTATACAAATGTTTTTTTCCAATTTAGAAAACTTGAAAATTAATTTCCTATTTTTTGGATATAGAAATATTACATTTGAAGAGGAAGTTCCATTTTTTTTATTTTTTTATTTTTTATCAAAGTCTAGTTTTCTGAAAAAATAGAATATTACTCTATTTTGAATAGCTTCCTAAACTCTTTTTTTTTAATTCTCACCTTTCCTTTATTTCATGAGGGGTATTGTGTATTGTATCATATTTTATTCTCATTGTTCAATAAGTTAGCATTAATAATAACAATAACAAAATAACATAACAAAGAAAACTAAAAGAGAAAGGCATTTAATTCATTCACAACTCACTCACTATTCTTATACACATTGTTATACTTCAATGAAATTGCTTTTACTCTCTGTCTTCATTTTTTCTTCTTTTTTAATGGGTTTTTGATCAAGATCAGTTTCTCTCAAGGCAATGCATTTAATGGAAGTACAATCTGAAACGTCTTAGAATATATTTGACGGGTTAATTTGTGAAGAATATCTGTGCAGGGACTGTTGTAGATTCTGGCCGAAGGGAAACCATGAATGAGACCATTAAACTGGTGTTGATTGCATATACACTTAGGGTTCTTGTTTTATTAGCATTATTTTAGGTTCCCTTGCACAGGCTGCAATAAAACTCTTCCTTTCTTCTCAACCTAACAAACCGACTCTCCCATCCTAGTTCAATTATCTACAGTTAGCGTGAATTGGAGGGTAGCATCTCATGAATGATACAACCATGGCACGTGAAACCTTGGAAAGCAAGCTTTCAATACAGACACGAAGTTACTCTTGTCAATGAGATATTGACAAGACATCAATGAAGCTGCTACAGGTTTCCCTGATCCGAGAGATTCACTTTGTTTTCTGAGCACATGAAAGAGCTTCAGCCTGTGATCATGGATGGCATCAGTCAAAACACTCAAACATGCACATGAAACTCCGGAGGTTGTCTCAACGATTCTGTTAACTTTCTCATTAAAATTGTCATATAAATGTATACATCTAACAAAGCGGTGTAATTACAAAAATTGTTTTGCATCTTCCCCTCCACTACAGGAATTCTTACAGTGCTTTTACTCGGCGGATGGATATCTAGCCACCATGGGGAAGACAATGACCAAAATAAAAGGAAAGGGTGGGGAACAACAACAAATGAAAGCTTTATGTTCTATTATTTGGCAACCACTGTTATAAAATATAGAACCACACTCAACAAAACTTCCATCACAAAATTCATCCCAGCCTGCTTTCTGTAAATAAATGGAGTTGCTGATCCCAGGAGCACACATCAAGCAAGTCATCGATTTTCTTCACTATGAATTAGATCTGTCCTTGCAGCTGCTTGTCAAGACTTGTAAAATCAAACTGAAGATGCCAGAATTATGAAGACATTTTTACTTGAATTTGCCGATGGATATGCACTAGGAATTCTACATAGGAGAGACCACCGACTGGAACCTTGTCCTCAACCAAATATGAGAAGAATGACATTCCTGTGGAAAAAACAACAGTTGGATTTTCACAAATCAAACTTGTTGAGGATATTTTGACAAAAAATCCTTCTGCATCTACTAGTATCAGCAGAAGAAAATCTAACACGAAAATGAGAATACTGCATGTATTATGAAGCACAATTCAATCAGATGGAACAGAGATGAGTACATAATGCATTCACAAATCGAAAGTATGAGCCTCTTTGCTAGTAGCTACTTGTTTTTCTGACCACAGAGTGTTCTATTTAGTCACCATGAAATTTGTATGATGATTTATTGATATCAAATTACTATATGATCGGTTAAAACATGACTTCCTCATGAGAAACGATATGAGTTGCAACGTTGTCTGGCCCATGAAGTTCGGGAAGGTGATGTCAGCAAACCAACACTTCTGTCCCATGCATGTTTCCATGCAATGACCCAAAGTAATTCCTTCCTCATTCACGTTTCAAAATAACCCCCCAAGTTATGAAGTATCAGAAATGGCCAAAAAGTACTATAACTACTTTAGCAGCGGTATGGGGTAAAAGATAATGTGAGTTTTCAGTGAGCAAATAAACCAGTTCATTTTTGGTCGAGTTTACATCATGTGGTAGTAGGAATTACAGTTCCCTCAACTATATTGAAGAACAGGTCCAGTGAACTCACCTGATGGATCTCCTTTTTTACACAACTTTAAGCTGCAAGAGAAGAATTGCAATGCATCAGAATGAGAGATTGCAAGCACATGTGCGGATAGATTGAGGAAAAAAATATAATATGTTAATATGTCATGAAATTTTTTTCCTTCATAATAAAAAAACAACAGCTGAAACATCATACCGCAGGAAGGAACATCTTTGCCGCCGTATCTCATTCACCACATTATTTAGTTTCTTTGATAGTGGATTGTCATATTGCTCCAGAACAAACTGAGAATACTGAAATAATTAGTTGCAAAACATCAAACCTGAATAATTTGCAAAAACAAAATTTCTAATCACACATCACTGACAGAAGTCCATGTAGTTGCAATGTTAATTATCAAATTAAAGCACCAAAAGATCTAAAAAATTCAAGCACGTAGGCCTCTATTATCTCCAAAAGTTTCATGCAATAAATTGCCAACTGGGCTCTTTGAATTAGTAGTGTCTCACAAGCCCATTCTGCTGGACGCATGGCATCTTGAACATGTTGGTTTGATTGTCCAACACAGCATGCTCCAAACCAAGACTAATAATATTAGGTATAATAAATTCTTTAAAAGGATGGTACCTGAGTTGGGATTTCAGCTACTGAGGAAATGCCAAAAAGTTTTTGCAAGGTCTCTGAATTAACTGAGTTCCCAATATATATTAAGCCATCCTGGCCATTCTCAAGAAGATAAATTCCATCCTCACTCACATATTCACTAGAGAGCGCAAGTGCAGGAGGGATACGAGATCCATCTGCTTCCTGTCAATAGGCAGAAAGTTACCATCGACTTCTGGACAAAATATAATGTAGAATCAAATATAATAAAAGAACACTCATGCCTGTGAATCAAGGTTGTGAATTGCAGTCATCCTAGGATACACCAAGGGAATCGCTAAAGGTGTAGAAACTGAGGAAACATAACTGATCCAAAATGACCGATCATCAATCCTCCCATTGACTTTCAACCCTGTACTTTTAATTAATGCTGGAAGGAAGAGCAAGAACCCAAAAGGGCAAACAATCGAGGCATGTCAATTTCTTTGAATAAACTGTAAGAAGCTTACTGATATAACTTACATTCATTTCAAATTTGGCCTATGAACAAAACACATATTACAGAACAACACTGCAATTATAATAGTACTGATAAGAGGAGGGGATACCATTTATGAACAAATCAAAGTTTTCATTGAAAAGCTATTTCTACGAAAAACACATATAAAGCTATAGAAAAACTTAAAAGGAAAGATGGAACTACGTTGAACTAAATTACTTTTCTAACTTACTTTACTTTAACCATATAAAGTTATCTTAATTCTTCAATGCTTTTGAAGGTTATCTCGCAAGATATTCTGCTATACTCCCAAGTGTATAAGGCTCACGCACAGGTATTAAAAAGTGTTGAAACAGCTCCACGGCATAAAACATAATTAATTGTTGAGTGAGTACATAATAAATAACAGCAATTTCAACATAAACACTACCTATGAATAAGCATAAACCAATGTGCAAGAAACATATACCAAGGGTGTACAGGGGCAGAAGTTTAAGTGCCTCTGGAAGGATGAGTTGTCCTGATGACGATACTGTTGCACAAAATTTGCGATACGAAAGCAGAATGTTTATGCAAAAGTTTGTCACTTGTTCTTGGACAACCAAGGATGGGTTGGAAGGGATTTCATTTGCCGCTGGAAAGACAAGCAGAGAAAAGCGTCAGTCTTCTTACCTCAAAAAGATAAATACTTTTTGTACAAGTTATGCCATGAACAAAAAAAAAAAAAACTCTTTTAGAAGCAAAGAGATATCCATTCTTACACAGCTGAAAGACCAAAGTTTGACACATGCCATATTAATTTTCTACAAGATGTTGTATGTAAATGAGAAAACGTAACTGTTATTATTATTCTGGTAACTTGATATGTTGGATGAGAATGATATAGTGATCATGGTAAACCATAATGTGTGCACAATATAACTATAAAAACAGTGTGAAAAAAAGGACAGCAAAGAGAATGCATGACAGAAAATTCAATACCTTGCTTCAAGAAACACACAAATTGGGAATCCAAGTCAGCCAAGCGGAACAAATTACTTAAATTGTTTGTGCATGGCAATGATAAATTTGCAACACGAATTCTTCTTTGGCCATACACAGTGGTGTAGAGGAGGGCACACTGAAAAATGAAGCAAACAATATAAATAAACAGATAGAAGAAATCTTCTCAACAAATGATAAAAGGGCAGACGCACCACAGTCCTTCCAAATTTCATAATCCTAACAAAATCAATGCACTCAATTGCAAT